AAGTAAACCATCATTTTCTGCTGTGCCACCGACAAGTTCTCCTCAAATGCATCCATTCCAAATAGTCAAAAAGACTACATTGTGGAGGAGACAAAGGTCAGATAATCAAACTCTGAAGATGAATTCCATGGGCGTCTGAAACTCATCAGAACTATCATTCTAGAGGCGCCACCGAACTTCATCCAAGCTTATCAAGAGCAACTTCTGGAAGGCAAGGTTTTCAAGAAAAAGATTCCTCAACCCCCGACATCAAAGATCAAATTGCTAAGAAAACATCAAAGGGGAGATTGCGAGGTTTCTTCATGAAGCCTTCTCAAGAAGTCAAGTTCAAATGAAAAGGAAGCTGAATAACAACAAAGACAAAGATATCTGCGCTGCAATGCTGATTTAACACGATTGATCACCAAGGGGGAGATTGTTGGGAATATTTTATGGTGTTCAATCTAGTTAGTTATCTTTGTATTTGTGTAGTTATTAATTAAATGTGTAATACGGGCCACAAATGTGTATCAGCCCGTTAGCTTCCTTGTAACCCGTAAGTTAGCCAACTTCTCCTATAAAAGGAGGCTAACTTACGGGAACCCAACTAACGTTCGAGGTTTAGAGAATAGAGGCGTGATAGAAAGAGTAGGGTTTCCGCTGCTCTCCTTCTCCAGGGAGAGCGGCGGGGTTTCATACGGTATACCAGATTTGGTTTTTCATCTCATAATCTTCTATCTGCTTCTTCATAACTGCTATGGTTGTTTGATTGTTATGTTATGGGTCTATCAATTGGTATCAGAGCCGAGGCGTGAAACAGGTTGAATGTATCTGCGATTTTATGGATCTAACGAAGAACTGCTCTGCTTTTCTTCTCTTTTCCTTCATATAGAGTTTTGCTCCTGTAATCTTGTTTGTGAACGAAAATCTGTAAAAATTATACTGTTGGAATCGCCCTTCAAAGCCGATCCGGCAGCATATACACTTTTTCGATTTCTGCAAATTTCATTTTTCGTAGAACTCTACATGAATTGCGAGTTTATGCTTTAACCTGCCTGCAGAATCGTTTTTTACTTGAAACAGATACAAGAGCATCTCGACCTTCAGGGCTATACAGAACAGTCTTCAGATTCTCAAAATTCGAAGTTTTCAGATTCTCGAGAGTTTTCAAAATCGAGAGTTTTAAACTCGCAGTCATGACCTCATGTTGTAAACTCGCGGTTTTCAACTCGAGTTTTAAACCTCGAGTTCTGACCTCATGTTTTAAACCTCGAGTTCTGACCTCGAGTTTAAACCTCGAGTTCTGACCTCGAGTTTAAACCTCGAGTTCTGACCTCGAGTTTTTAAACCTCGAGTTCTGGCCTCGAGTTTCAAACCTCGAGTTCTGACCTCGAGTTTAAACCTCGAGTTCTGACCTCGAGTTTAAACCTCGAGTTCTGACCTCGAGTTTTAAACATCAAGTTCTGACCTCGAGTTTTAAACCTCGAGTTCTGACCTCGAGTTTTATACCTCGAGTTCTGACCTCGAGTTTAAACCTCGAGTTCTGACCTCGAGTTTTAAACCTCGAGTTCTGACCTCGAGTTTTAAACCTCGAGTTCTGACCTCGAGTTTTAAACCTCGAGTTCTGACCTCGAGTTTTAAACCTCGAGTTCTGACCTCGAGTTTTTACCTCGAGTTCTGACCTCGAGTTTTTAAACCTCGAGTTTTTTAAAAATTTCGAGTTTTGGAATTTCGAGTTTTAGGAACTCGATGTTTAGGATTTTGACATTCTGAAAAATTTCAGAATTTTTGGAATTTCTCGATGATTTGAATCTTTCAAAGTTTGCAGTTTCTTGGAACTCATAATTCGAATCTTGACATCCTTCGCAGTTCATCGAAGCTTTACATTATAGGATTTCTGAATGATTTCGTGCTTATAAAAGTTTTTTTTTTGAAGTTTTCGATGTTCTGATGTTTTTCAAACAGCAAGTTTTCGATATTATGAGGTTTTAGAAACTCCAAAGTTTTCGATGTTCCAAACATTTTGAAATTCTGAAGATTTCGTTATTCTGAGGTTTGTTTTGCAGGTGGATTTCGCCATTACTCTTCAAGGCAAACTCGAAATTAAAATCTCGAGATTAGGACTTCGAGTTTTTGCCTTAGAATTTTGTTTAATTTCACCTGCTCTCGAAATTCAACATCGAGAACCTCAACCTCGAAGAATTTCTTCAAAAACTCAATTAGAGATTTTCTGCGACACCGCACTGTTTTGGCCATAACTTTTGACTAGGTGATCCGATTTTAGCAAAGTTTTTTTGTTGGAAAGCTAACGAAAAGATCTACATTTATTCTAGGGGTTTACCACAGAACCCACTTTTACGCGCCCTCACTCGCAGTCTTTGAGGGTCAAAACGTTGGTTTTCCGAAAAACTTTGTAAATCACCGATGTCAAAAGGCCAATTTGGGCAAATCTGATCAAATTCTTTCAAACTCAAACAAAAGGTCAAATAGGGTCTAAGCTTCACTGTAAAGGTCCGAAAATAGTAGATAATTCAATCAACCTCGCGTCAACGGTCATCTTACAACAATCAACAATCAACCACTGAAGCCTCCTCTGACTCATCAAGATTATGTGATCATCAATATGCTGAAATTCTACATGATGAGCTCAGGGAAACCGTGATGTGTGGTACTTGTTCAGATTGCCCCACACACATGACGGGTATGACGAGCTGTGAGCAATCAATCCTTGCACATTCTGAGGGGGAGTTTCAGTTTTCTCCTCCCGGCGCCTTACACCGACAAAGCAAGGAATCTCTCAACGGATATAACATTCTAGGGGGAGTGTTCAATGTTATCCTCCCCGGTGCCTAACAATGACAAAGCATACTGAGTGCTCCAGTTGAGGGGGAGTACAGAGAGAAAATGAAGAATGTAATGAGAGAACATGTCCATATGGCTTAGTAAACCCAACAAAGCCTACCCAAGGGACAAAGCCGAGCGTAAATGAGTGAGTGAGCGAGTGAGTGAGTGAACATTATGAGCGTTAGGAAGCAGAAGGCTCAAGTGAGCAAGAATACAATAATCAATGATGAGTCTGCTACCTCAACTGCCTGCTATGAATTGAACATTTACTCCTAGCCACTCAAATACTCTCGACAATCCCCATAGGTTCAGGACTGATTTAATCATATCCCGGGTAGAAGTCACTGCATCTTGTCCAACAGTGCATGCTTAACCCTACCCAAGACCACTCACTTGTCTCCCAATAGACAGGTGTTTAATCATAATTCACGGGGAACCGCATCTCTCATTACTGTCTCCTTCCGAGGTAAGTAATACTGACCACAGTGGCCTCAACCCCATGCCACTGAACTTTCATTGATCACATCGTGTCTAGTTACTCACTCCCAAATGTTTTGAAATTTTCTAGGACACAGACACATTTTAGAGTCAGTTGCTAGTCTTCAAGACTTGCGAGAACTTCCATAGGGCTCATCTATTACAGACGTAGACCAATAATTGGAAGGAAGTCCTGCTGTTGCAACATAAGAATCACCAACATTTTCAGGTCATTGCTTTAGAGTTTATCTCTATAGTGATGATAACGGGCGTCTTCACGACCCTGGGGGGCTACGTTATCTTCTTTACATTCTGCTTGTTTTTCCTGTTTTTATTTCCACAGAATAAAAGAATAAAGGCATGACGCCCCGATTCATCGGACCGTCATGAGGGAGAGAGTGTTCCACATGCTGTTAACTGTCAAAAAATCATTCTCGAACACTTCTCTCTTCCATCACTCTCTCTACTATCTCCGCAACTCAAATGGTCAGCTACGCTCACAAGTCAACCATCATTTTCTGCTGTGCCACCGACAAGTTCTCCTCAAATGCATCCATTCCAAATAGTCAAAAAGACTACGTTGTGGAGGAGACAAAGGTCAGATAATCAAACTCTAAAGATGAATTCCATGGGCGTCTGAAACTCATCAGAACTATCATTCTAAAGGCGCCACCGAACTTCATCCAAGCTTATCAAGAGCAATTTCTGGAAGGCAAGGTTTTCAAGAAAAAGATTCCTCAACCCCCGACATCAAAGATCAAATTGCTAAGAAAAAATCAAAGGGGAGATTGCGAGGATTTCTTCATGAAGCATTCTCAAGAAGTCAAGTTCAAATGAAAAGGAAGCTGAATAACAACAAAGACAAAGATATATGCGCTGCAATGCTGATTTAACACGATTGATCACCAAGGGGGAGATTGTTGAGAATATTTTATGGTGTTCAATCTAGTTAGTTATCTTTGTATTTGTGTAGTTATTAATTAAACGTGTAATACGGGCCACAAATGTGTATCAGCCCGTTAGCTTCCTTGTAACCTGTAAGTTAGCCAACTTCTCCTATAAAAGGAGGCTAACTTACGGGAACCCAAACTAACGTTCGAGGTTTAGAGAATAGAGGTGTGATAGAAAGAGTAGGGTTTCCGCTGCTCTCCTTCTCCAGGGAGAGCGGCGGGGTTTCATACGGTATACCAGATTTGGTTTTTCATCTCATAATCTTCTATCTGCTTTTTCATAACTGCTATGGTTGTTTGATTGTTAAGTTATGGGTCTATCACTAATTAATTGTCACCCCATTATATTGGTGAATAATGTACTCACTTTACAAATAAGTGAGTAACTAAGTGACAATTTTTGTACTTCCGTCACCTCTAATCACCACGGTTTGAGAGACGATCACATTGATTGTCACCTTGTTTGTCACTAAACTAATGTAGTGAATATAATTTGCTCTTAATTAAATATAAAATAAATTGATTTATATATTTAACATTATTATTAGTAACATAGTTCAAATTAATTTTCAAGATGAAAAATGAAATTACGCATAACTGACAAAATAAAATCTCAATTAACGTAACTAAATATCAATGAAGACATTACGGAGACTACTATGTAAGGAATCCAAGCATATGTTAAACATATGTCCCTAGCCAAAAAAAACTGTTTTAACAATTAATGTAAACAGAAAAAAATTCAAAGATGCAAAAACGAAAAGTTGAAAAAATATCTAAAACTAATTTCTAGACGGCGGCGGCAACAATGACGAGCTAAAATTCATCAAGTCTGTAAAATTCATTGCTCCATTTTGAAAAGATTGCCCTTGTGATGCCATTTGTGAGAACGGTAATTGTTGGAACGGAAATATGGAAGTACTTGGAGCTAGAGTTTGAGCAGGAATTCCGGAGTTTTGAATGGCCAAAGAGTTACGGTACTCAGCAAAACGAGCCATCCATGTCCTATCATTTTCTTCAATAACAGCTCGAACTACAGTTTGAACTGAGCCTTCTATACACTCCCGAATGCTAGTAGTAAGTGCAACTTTGATATGCTTATCAATTAATTCCTCTAAATTATCACAATGCATGGAAGTCGACGTGTCACCTCGAGATTTGGTTTGAACCTCGCTAGAAAGACTCCCTAACCCGAAAATCTTACCACATTCGGGAGGTCCAAAATGCTCCATAAAAATTTCATCCTCGTCTATAGGTGGTGAGTCATCATTGACCTCCTCTCTTGCTTTTTGTCTAGCAGTTAGAAAATTTTCCTGATACAAAAAATATTTAGTAAATCACATAAACCAACTATTAGCAAAGTGTCTATGTGTATATCTTAAATAAATACTATTTATCTATTTAACCATCTTACATAGCATCTTTTTATCCTTGGACCACTCCATTCACGAGTTCTTTTTCTCTTCCATGTGACAGCATACAACTCCCGCATGAAAATCCTCCTACCAAGTATTTTCCTCTTTGGAAAATAACAACATTAGTTAATGAATAAATCCAAAGGTTTAATCTAGCTATAAATATAAAAAATTACCAATCTTTTCTTATGATCAGCTGTAGTGATTGACCCTCCACAATATGGGTTGTTTTTGCATGATTCTGATGATCGAGCTTTTTTCCCCTTAGCGCTAAGTTTTTTGAACTCCGGAGAGGCCCAATATGTCTGCAGTTCTTTGAAATCATTCTCACCAATATATTTTGGTGGCACATTTCCATTTCGTGCCTTTTGTAACATTTTCTTGAGACCTTGGCTACTGTATTTGTCAAAAAGCCTTCTGAATTTCTTTTTTTCCGAGTCCGCAAATGGATGAGTCAACTGCAAATACATAGCAACTTTAAATTACTCCTACCAACTAAAAAGATCATTAAGTTCATAAGAATTTAAACATGATATAATTTATTTAAGTTACTCTGAATTCCTCAAACCAATGATCTCTTTCTGTTTCAGGCACTTTCTGATAAGATCTCCAAGGTCCCACTAAAGCGGGATTTCATGATTGCCTTAATTTCTGTATGCGTTTTGCGGCTTTTTAACAATAAAAAACAGAGAAAAATAATCTGTTAGAAATAAGTTGTTCAAGTAACATACTATTAAACATGACTATATAGAAACATATAAACTAACCAATGCATTTCGTCTAAGGAAAATGGTGTGACATCCGTTTCTTGGGGTTCCTCTCCATTTGATGAATGCGGTGATGTTGGAGGACTTGGGAAATGAGATCTACTTCCCTCTCCACTTGAATATTGACTTCCAATCATAGGACTTGATGGGGGTGATGATAAGTTATTCCTACCTCTACCTCTACCTTGAGGTGCACGACTATCCTGTGCACACAAAGCATGTCCTCCACGTGTCCGCATCTTTGATTTAGTAAAATTATCTTAAACATATTATCAAGATTAAATAGTTATAAAGCATCACTACCAAACTTATTGGATGAAACACCCATATTAATTTCCAAACATATCAATTCCTAAAAAGAACACAAACCAATCGATTACTTTATAAATAACTATCTACATAACATAACTAAATAACAAAGAGATGAATTGTGATGGATGAATAAGAGATATTAACTACACCACGGTTACCCTAAAGGAGTCTGAAGATGGAACCCTTGCAACCAACTGCTGCTCAGCCGCCGCCGGCCACAACCAGCAACCCTTGGGCGGCCAAAAGCTTTGCGGATGTGGTGGCTAACCGCACTAATAGCTCCATATCCACGAAGACATCACGCTACAAGGGAATGCCTGCTATAAACTTCACAGAGAGTGATATCCAAACCCTTGAAGAACGTCATAAACGATCTTTAATCAGTTATTTCTACAAAGGGAGACCGAGTATGGAGAATTTGCGCAAAGTTTTTGAGAAGATTGGTTTTAAAGGTACATTCCACTTGGGGTTATTGGAGAAAAAACATATCTTGATTAAATTTGATTTGGAAGAAGATTTTCTTCGATGCTGGAATAGGCAATCATGGATTGTCAATGGCTTTACGATGAGAGTTACGAAATGGACTCCGGATTTTCATCCAAACGTGGAATCTCCGGTGGTTCCAGTTTGGCTCTCGTTTGAAGGTCTACCTATTCATTTACATGATAAAAGGGCCTTATTTGGCATTGCTAGCTTAATTGGTCATCCTATCAAGCTGGATATTGGTACTGCAAATCTTTCCAGACCATCGGTTGCTCGTATCTGCGTAGAGCTTGACCTAACGAAAGATATGCCGCATAAAATTTGGATTAATTGTGGTTCATCTAGGTTTTCGCAGCCGGTGTGCTATGAAAATAGGCCCATGTACTGCATCCATTGTCTCCACTTGGGACATATGGAAGCTACATGCCCTAAAAAGGAAGGGGTAAGCAAAGAAAATCAAATCCTGTCAGTTGATAGGGCTCAATCCAAAGACAAATGGGTTGCTAAACCCTTACATACACAGTCCAACATTACAAAGGACAATGCCAAACTTACTGCTGTGGAAAAAGGAAAAGGCAAAATAATTACAAAAACACAACCGGTCAATGTCAGTGTGGACTCTGACACAGACATGGAGGAGATTATCATGGAGCATCCCTCTTCATCTCAACCTGCTTCCTCTTCAGGTGAAGGGACATCCCTGCAAACTATACCCGAGGGAAACAACCATAATAAGGAGATATCCAAGAGTGCAGATCTTAACAACAATATGATAGAAGCTATAAATAAAGAGCATGAGAAAAACACTGAAGTAATCTGGCCTTTGACTTACCATAAACCAGCTGGTCCTTTGATGGATGATTCTCAGATACAATCTCTTCACAATGAACTGGAATATGACCCTGAAATAGCAGCCAAAGATTACTTTTCGGATGGAGGTGCTCCTAACAAGATGGAAGATTTTCAAACTTGGAAGGAGGTCCTTCCTAGCATTATAAAAGGAGTTGCATTTGTGGTTAAACAGAAAGAAAAACAGTTGGCAAACATGGCACAGAATGCCATTTCTACTAAGGAGGATTCTCCTTTCATATTGGTCAGAAGGAAAGGATACAGGAAGAGAAAATCCATCCCAGTTGTACCTGCATGTATTACCAGGAACACTGCAAAGAATATGGCAAATAAAGAAGGTACATGTTCTACAGATTCAGCCATCAGGCTCCCACAAATTTCCTCTCCATCTATATCTAAATGAATTGTCTAATATGGAATTTAAGAGGGTTAGAAGGTGCTGCTTCTAGATTATTCTCTCTTATAAAACAATGGCAAATTCAATTACTTGTTGTTATTGAGCCTATTGTGGCTTCTAATAAAGCTGAGTTTTTTATGAGGCAATTTGGTTTTAGTAAAGTTCTTTTCTCTGACATCAATAAGATTCAGATATATTGGGATGACACTTATATCAATATATCTCAAGTGGAATGGCACCCACAATATATTCATTTCAGAATTAGTTCTAGTCTTTTCTCGGGGTTTTTCACAGCTATTTATGGCAACCACAGTTATATTCTACGAAGAGTATTGTGGCAGAAGATGATTGATTTCTCTAATACAATCAAGGAGGCATGGATGGTTGGGGAGATTTTAATTCTATTGCTTCTCATTCTGATCATTTTGGTCCGTCCCTACCCCATTTAGTTGGTATGACAAATTTTGCCAACTGTATTTCTTCCTGTGGACTGATTGATCTCCCATTTCAAGGCACTAGTTATACTTAGACTGGTGTTAGATCTAATGGAAGACTTGGGAGACGACTTGACCAAGTTTCGTTCAACAATCATCTTATTGATGCTTTTGATCAAATTCAAATTACTCATCTTAACAAAACTCCATCAGACCATTCTCCTATCTTAATAGAGTTACAGAACAAAGGATTATCTGGTCCTAAACCTTTTAAATTTCAGAATATGTGGACTGCTCACCCTTCCTTTCTTAATGTGGTTGCTAATAGTTGGAACTCTAGCAGATTTGGTGGAGGTATGTTTGGTCTAGTCAGGAAACTTCAATGTTTGAAACAGGATCTTAAAAAGTGGAATGCTGAAACTTTTGGTAATATTTTTGAAGACATTAAGCTCTGTGAACAAGAGGTTTTGAATGCAGAAGTTTGTTTTGAAAATAATCCTACAAAAGAAAATAGATCTGATTGGTCTTTTATGTCCAAATATAAACTGGAGAGAAAATTTTGGAAACAGAAGGCTCATCTCAATTGGCTTAGAAAGGGGACTCAAATACAAAATTCTTTCACTCTTATGTGAAAATCAAAAATAGAAAGTAGCAGATAACATCTATTAAAAACTCTGATGGAATTTTGGTAAACACAGTACCTGAGATAGGGGATGCAGCAGTCCATTACTTTTCCAGTCTTTATTCACATGAGCAAGAAGGAGATGGAGATCAAATCCTGGACTATATTCCCTCATTAGTTGATGCTACTGATAACAAATCCCTTCTTGAGCTACCTGATTCAGAAGAGGTCAAAGAAGCTGTTTGGGCACTCAATCAAAATGGTGTTGCAGGTCCTGATAGTTATAATGGGAAATTTTTTAAAAAATGTTGGCACATTGTTGGGAAGGATGTTGTCAATGTTGTTCAAGATTTTTTTATGGGGATTCCTATACCTAAAGGTCTTTCAAGCTCCCTTCTGGTTCTTATACCCAAGAAGGACAATCCAATTTCTTTTGCTGATTATAGGCCCATTTCTCTTTCTAACTTTGTTAACAAAGTCTGTACCAAGGTGCTTGCTAACAAATTAGATATTCTTCTACCTAAATTAATATCCAATGAACAAGCTGGCTTCCAAAAAGGGAAAGATATGGCTGATCAGATCCTAATTGGTCAGGAAATGCTTCATGCTATTGACAAGAAGATTAGGGGATCTAATTTGGTGATCAAGTTAGATATGGCTAAGGCCTTTGACAGACTGTCTTGGAGTTTTCTATAAAAAATTCTTCAGAAGTTTGGCTTTCATGATCATGTTATTAACCTTATTGTGAATAACTTGCAAGCTACTTATCTTTCTGTGCTTATAAATGGCAGTCCTAAAGGTTTTTTTAAGCCTATGAGAGGGGTCAAATAGGGAGACCCTCTCTCCCCTTTCCTTTTTATCCTTGCATCAGAAGCTTTTTCTAGAGGGCTAAACTGGTATGTGGCTAATTGTCTTATTAAGCCTTATTATTTGGGCAGATATGGAAAACCTGTTACTCATTTAGCCTTTGCAGATGACCTGCTTATCTTTATGAATGGTGAATCAAGATCTATTCTCAACTTCAAAAAGTTTCTTACCTTGTATCAGAATGCCTCAGGCCAGGCAGTGAACTTTGACAAAAGTTCATTTGTGTGCGGAAAGCATGCCAATACCAGAAGCCAAATAATCAAAGACCTTTTGGGTATGCAAAAAGGATCCTTGCCTCTGAAATATTTAGGAGCCAATCTGCACAAAGGAATCAATAGGCATCAGTTCTGTCATAATATTATTCATCAGTTTGATTCAAAGCTTTCTACTTGGAAACAGAAGAATCCAAATCAGGGAGGGAGACTTATCTTAATCAAGCATTGATGCACACTAGTTAGTAGTGCATAATTATATGTTTTTATGTTTGATTTATGTTGATTGTTTGACATTTTATTTAGTTTGTAAAAATTTATGTGATTTCAGTTGTAATTGTATTTTATTCTTTATTTATAAGTTGTAAAGTATAGTTAGGATTTGTGGTGTTGGAAAGGAAGACTTTGAAGAGAAGAAAACAAGAAATTTGACTGCTCAGGAGTAAAACCCGACCGAGTAGAAACCCCCACCCGGTCGGGTATTATTTAACAGACGAAATTGCCAAGAAAATCATTGGACCCGGTCGGGTCCCCTACTTGACCCGGTCGGGTCAGATGTGACCCGGGACAAAATGACGTGCGAAGATCACCAGAACGTGGCGGATTATCTGATTTTGACCGAACCCGGTCAGGCAAGTACTTGACCCGGTCGGGTACCCGGCCAAAGG